GAGCATCAAACATAGAGATGGCAATATCCACAAGAATGCAGATGGACTGAGTAGATGGGCTTTACCAAATGACCCAAGCAACCCTGCGTATGACCCTGAGGATAAAGATGATGACAGATTTCCCATTATGGGCATCCACGTATCTGATTTCAAGGATGAATTCTTTGAAACAGTCAGAGAAGGTTACCAAAAGGAATGAAAAATTGCAAGGATACCCAACTGAAAAACTCCTTGCAAGAACCATGGAAGACATCCTATGCTGAAGGCAGGTTTTCACTGTTTGATGGCCTTCTATACCACAGAGAGAAACACAATTCTGTCTTAGTTTTAGTGGACAAAGAAAGCATCAATACCATTCTGTATGAATGCCACAATAGTGTTTCCTCTGGCCATTTCTCTGAAGACAGAACATTAGAGAAAGTAGAAGACACTGCATGGTGGTGCAACTGGAAGAAAGACACAGTTGAATACTGCGCTTCTTGTGATAGATGCCAAAAAGCAAACAAAGCCACTGGGAAGAGATTTGGTCTCTTTATGAAGATCCAAGAGCCTTCCAAACCATGGGACATCATCAACATGCACTGGGTTACATCCTTATCCCCAGGAGGAGCAGCTAGCTTTAATGCGTGCCTAGTAATTGTAGACAGGTATTCAAAATCCCCAATATTCATACCCTGCTTCAAAGAAGACTCAGCAATGGATACAGCCATTTTGTTTTGGAACAGAGCTATGCCAAGGACAGGGATTCCTAGAATTATTATATCAGACAGAGATCCAAAATTTACTTCTGAATTCTGGACTGGATTGCACAGTATGCTGGGAACTAAGCTTTCCTTTTCCACAGCATACCATCCCCAAACCGACAGACTAGCAGAAAGGATGATCCAAACCCTGAAGCAACGGTGCCACAGAGACGATACGATACGGTATCAGGCATTTATCTGTATTGTCTCAGAATTGGAATACCCAAAAATACCGGATTTGTGTTGTCTCACTTTCCTGAGACATATACATGTATCGTATTTGAAAAGTGAGAAATGTATTCTGTATTGTCTCAGATGACTGATCCCACCAAAACCGTATTTGATACATAAGATATTTGGCTGTATTGAAGAAAAAACGAAAAAAACGAAGACGAATTTTTTTTTTTCATTTTTAAATCCAAATCCAATACAATGTATTTTTTCACCAACCAAGGAAATACTGATACCGGTATCAGGCTCAAAATAAATACAATACAATCCGATACAAATACATGTCTCGTATCTGTGGCACCGTTGCCTGAAGGATATGGTCAGGAGATTCTGTGCATATGGGCTAGAATTCAAAGACAATGATGGGTACACACATGATTGGGTTTCTTTATTACCAATTCTTGAGTTAGCCTACAGCACCAGTATACATTCCACCACTGGAAAAGCGCCGGCCATTCTAGAGAAAGGTTGGATGCCAAATCTACCCAGGAATTTCCTCAAAAAGGATGCACACATGGGCCTATACAGAATTTCCCCAAAGGGAAATCTTGTAAATTTTAGGGAAATTCTGTTGCATTTTTCAGATTTTTCAGACTTTTTGGAAATTTTAGAAATTTTAGAAATTTTAGAAATTTTAGAAATTATAGATTTTTTAGATTTTTTAGATTTTTTAGATTTTTTAGATTTTTTAGATTTTTTGGCATTAGAGTTTTTAGATTGAAAGAATCTGCAGATTCTTTTCAAAAAAAAATTTAGATTTCTCTTAGATTTTTTTAGATTTTTTTAGATTTTTTTTAGATTTTTTTTCAATAAAATCTTAAAATTCTAAAAATTCTAAAAAATTCTAAAAATTCTAAAAAATCCTAAAAATCTAAAAAATCTGAAAATTCTAGAATATCTAGAGCATCTACAAATTTGAAAATATGGAAAATCCAAAATCTAAAAATTCAGAAAATCCAAAAAATCCAGATTTTTTTTCAATGTTTACAGAATTTCCCTAAAATTTACAAGATTTCCCTTTGGGGAAATTCTGTATAGGCCCATGTGGCAGTAGATATTCATCCCACTGCTCTCACTTACGCCAAGATCTTTGAGAAAACCAGAGAGCATGCTGAGCAATGCATAACAGATGCTGCAGCCTACAATAAAGATAGGTGGGATAAAACACACAGAGAACCTCACTTCAAGGTTGGGGACCAGGTACTGATATCAACCACCAACTTCAACAATTTGTCTGGACCAAAAAAGATGAGAGATTCCTTTGCAGGCCCATTCATAGTTAAAGTGTTACATGGGAAAAATGCTGTTGAAGTGATCTTAACTGAAGAGTTCAGTAGAAAACACCCCACTTTCCCAGTCAGTCTAGTTAAGCCTTACCATGCTCCCAATGAAGGCAAATTCCCTCTGAGACAGAAAGTGAAAGTAGTCATACCCCCCATGGAAGAAAACCCTAAGAATAAGATCATCCACAAGATTCTGAGGGAAAAGAGATTAAGAGTAGACAATAGAGATGTGAGGATGTTTCTAGCTAGATACAAGAACATGAGTGCAGACAAAGATGAATGGCTACTAGAAAAAGATATTCCTGATGCTAACACCTTACTCCGGAAATTCAGGAGCGAGAAGAGGTCTACCTGATGTTTCATTTTTAGTGAAATGAAGCCCTTTTTGGTGGTAGGGAATGTCAGCCTTAGAGCCAGCCAAGCTGGCCAAAAGACTGCTTAAGTCCTCCTTTTTCATTCAATTCCCTACTGTAACTTTTTAATCTTAATCTTTTATTGCATTCTGACTTCAGAAATGAATTCCTCTGTTAATTGTAACCTTAGTCACCCCTACACACTTTTACACTACTCCTCTCCTTCACAGAATTTGTAATATTTCACCGTACCATTGTGAAATATCTACCAAGTTGGAATTCCAACTCTCTACCACATGGTCATGTTGTGATTATGTAATCCAACTCTGAAAATTCTCTCAGTAGACACTGAGTTTGCATTTTCAGGATCTTTAAGCTTCAGACCCACCCAGAACCAACTCAGACCAGAAAACCAGCATACCTCAACTTGGATTCACCGTTGTATCATTGCCGTGTTATCGTTTGGAGCAACGCTGGGCCAGCTACGCTAACCGTAGCGTTAGTGTGGCGTAGCGCAGCGGAAATGCGCTACTTTGTAGTGTAGCGTTAGCAAAAAATCCACCTTTCTTCGCTAACACTACGCGCAAAGGGCACAAAAGTGCGTTAGCTGTTAGCGTAGCGTTAGCGCAGAAAGTCAGAATTGCGCTAACGCTACGCGCTCAGGGCACAAAAAAGTGCCCGCTACGCCGCGCTACAGGGCTTTTTAGCGGGTTTTTTGCCTTTTTTGCCGCTAAAAGCGCTGTAGCGCAGCGTAACGCAGCGTAGCGGCTGTAGCGATGCGCTAACACTACCCAAAAACATGCCGCCTGTTAGCGGGGCTACAGCGTAGCGTAGCGTAGCGGCGGTAGCGGCACGCTAACACTACAGAAAAAAGGGCCTGTTTTTGCGCCGCTACGCTAACGCTAAGTGGCCCTTTAGCATAGTGTAGCGGCCCAGCGTTGTTTGGAGTCCTTTACTCTTTGGAATCTTCCCACTCTCAGTGTCAGGATCACCAAATAGTAAGTCATTCCTTCAAGTTCAGCTTGCATCTTTCTGCTAAGTTTCTTCTCTGTCTCTCTGAATGAACACTTCATTCTTTTTCTACTAAACCTCTGCCTCAAACATCTTCTTATCAAATCAAGTCATCTTAATTCTCTGTTTGGTGGTATAACTAAAAACCACATAGGTTTCCCTTTGAAGACCCTTGATCTTAGATCTAAAAAATAGTGGCCGGATTGATTTATCAATACCAGGAACCCTTCACAGTTTCAGTTGAGTTAGGAGGCGTAGATTTATTCCGCTATAGAACAGCCATCCTTCCACAGGAAAGTAAGACTGCAGTAAACCTTGATTATAAAACAAATAAACATTAAAAAATATTATTCATTTCTTTTCTATTTTCTTTCTCTCTCTCTCTCCTTTTCTCTTATTCTAGTTGTATTTCCTTATCCCTTTCAAATACACCTAGAATTGCCCCCCATTCCTTGTGTCCTGCTGTCAATTTTGAGACCCAGGCTCACAGAAAGTAATTTGAAAAGAAGTGGATGGTGTTTAGGTTTGAGAGTAAAACCAAGTGAGTGAAGAGGGTGAGTAAAAAAGTAAAAAATCAGAAAAGATTGAAGTTTCAAAGATTGTCTTGAGTGAGTTTTATATAAAAAGATAGGAGATAATGGAGGAAGATGGTAAAGAAGGAGTGAATTTTTGAAAGAGTGTGAGTTTCCTCCCCCAACTGTGCAAAAATATCAAGTTAAACTAATCAATAATTTTTCCTTTTGGTTGTGATGAACAGTTTAGTCTCTTGCCCAGGAGGTAGCCTTTTTTTTCTTTTTTTTGTTTTATGAGTTTTGTTGAGTGATAAGAAAATTGAGAGTGAAAAAATGTAGTTCATGGAATCAAGGGGAACAAGGAAGGCTAAAGATGAAAGAGTGACTAATGGAAAAAGAGTGAGTTCCCCCCCAACTTGAATGATTCTGACTGTGGAAATTTGAAGAAGTTGAAACTGATATTTTTTCTTCTTTTTTTAGTGTATTATGATAGGAAAGAAAAGAAGAAAATAGTTTTATTTTATTTTTATTTTAACCAACTCCAACAAGGATCCTGTGGGGTTTGAACGTTGCGTAAAGTTGCCCAAAGTGGTCTGGTGGAACCTTTTGAGGTAGTTGAAAAAGGAGTTTTATGAGTAAGAAAAATAAGAGAAATAATTTATTCGAAAAGCCAAAGTGAGAGACCACTGATTGAATCTTCTAGTGGCTTGAGTTGGTTTTGTCCTTCCAGAATAGTGATACATGCTGTTGAAATAATGGGTGGAACCGGTGTTGGCAGAATTGTAAAGGTTTCTTCAAGAATTGGTGAAATTTGAATTGGTGATGAAATGATTTGACTGGTAGGAGGTGGGTTTATTGTTTCAAGATCTACAGGAGCTGATGTAACAGGAATACTATTATGATCTTCTTCAGGTTCCGTAGTGTTGAACTCTTGATGTTCAATAAGGATTGGTCCATGTTTGTAAAGTTGTTGTTGGTATGTTGATTCTTGTAGTCTTTGTTGTTGATGCATAGGTTTTTGTTGATAAATTGAGTTCTCTGCATTTTGAGCATTACAGATTCCATATCCAGACGTGGTAGATACAGGTTCAATTTCCAGCATTTCTTCCTCCTTTTTCGGTTGTGTTGACATTGTAATTTCCATATTCCGTTTCAAAATTGAAGTTGTCAGCAAGGGCCGTTTCCTAAGAGTGGTTCGTGGAGCAAACAAAAGTTCCATATCTGAAACCCCAAACAGTAGATCCATGTTGATTTTGATTGATTTTTCTAGTTTTCTTGATATAAAATTCCATGGATAACAAGTTTTCTGGTGCTCTGAAAAAGAAACTGATAATAATATGGTCTCTGGTCTCTTTACCAGGGCAATTTTTTTCTTTTCAATAATAGATAAATCACTTAACAATACGCGGAAATTCTCTTCAAACTGTATCTCAATTATCCAGATCCTTCGGGTCCTAAACCTTCTTCCAGTATATAATTGGCCGCCTTATTTGAGTAAATTTCGGAATTCTCTTCAAACTCTATCTCAATTATCCAGATCCTTCGGGTCCTATACCGTCTTCCAGTATATAATTGGCCTCCTTCTTCGAGTAATTCCAGAGTTATCTTCAAACTGTATCTCAATTATCCAGATCCTTTGGGTCCTAAACCTTCTTCCAGTATATAATTGGCCGTCT